AGGCCATGTGTCTCTAGGAATTTGTCAGTGTCTTTAAGATTTTATTGGAGTATAAATTTTCAAAATAGTGTCTGATTATTTTATGTATTTCAGTAGTGTCCATCATGATATTTCCTTTTTCATCATGAATTTTAGTAATTTGAGTTTTCTCTTGCCTTCTCTTTGTTAGTGTGGCTAATGGTTTATTAATTTTATTTATTTTATCAAAGAACAAACTTTTAATTTTGCCGATTTTTTGAATTCTTTTGTTTCAATTTCATTTATTTCAGATCTGATTTTAATTATTCCTGTCTTCTACTGCTTTTGGTGTTGATTTGTTCTTCTTTTTCTAGGGCTTTGAGATGTAATGTTAGGTCATTTATTCATTGACTTTCTATTCTTTTAACGAATGAGTTCAATGCAATGAACTTTCCTGTTAGCATAGCATTCATAATGTCCCAGAGATTTTGATATGTCATATCATTATTCTCATTTACCTCTAAGTACTTTTTTTATTTCCTCCCTGATTTCTTCTGTTATTCATGAATCATTCAGTAGCATATTATTTAGTCTCCAGATGTTAGAATAGCTTCTATTTTTTATTCTATCATTGATTTCTAATTTTAATCCATTATGATCTGATAGAATGCAGGGTATTATCTCTAGTTGCTTTGTGGCATAAGATATGGCCTATTTTAGAGAAGGATCCATGTGCTGCTGAGAAGAAAGTGTATTTGCTCATTAATGGATGAAATATTCTATATGTGTCTGTTAAGTCTAAATTATTGATTGTATTATTTAGTTCTATAGTTTCTTTGTTTAGTTTTTGTTAGGAGGTCCTATCCAGTAGTGAGAGAGTAGTGTTAAAGTCACCCAGTATTATTGTGTTGTGGTCTATTTGATTCTTGAAATTGAGAAGGGTTTGTTTGATGTGTGTAGATGCTCCATTGTTTGGGGCATAAATATTTACAATTGTTATGTCTTATTGATGTATAATTCCCTCAAGAAGTATGAAATGTCTTTCTTTGTCCCTTCTCATTAATGTTGGCTTGAAGTCTACTTTATCTGACATAAGGATAGAAACCTCTGCTTGTGGGCTGGGGTTGTGGCTCAGCAGTAGAGTGCTTGCCTTGCATGTGCGAGACCCTGGGTTTGATTCTCAGCACCACATAAAAATAAATAAGTGAAATAAAGGTATTGTGTCCAACCACAACTAAAAAATAAGTATTTTTTTAAGAGAGAGAGAGAATTTTTTTAATATTTTTTAGTTTTCGGTGGACACAACATCTTTATTTTTTTATTTTTATGTGGTGTTGAGGATTGAACCTAGTGCCTCGCGCATGCCAGGTGAGCACGCTACTGCTTGACCCACATCCCCAGCCCCTAAAAAATAAATATTAAAAAAGAGACCTCTGGGGGGATAGTAGAGGATAGGAAAGGTAGCAGAATACAACAGTTACTAGTATGGCATTATGTAAAAATGTGGATGTGTAACCGATGTGATTCTGCAATCTGTATTTGGGGTAAAAATGGGAGTTAATAACCCACTTGAATCTAATGTATGAAATATGATATGTCAAGAGCTTTGTAATGTTTTGAACGACCAATAAAAAAAAAAAAAGACCTCTGCTTGTTTACATGATCCATGTGAATGATATGGTTTTTCCCATCCTTTCACATGCAATCTGTGGATGTGTTTGCCTATGAGATGAGTCTTTTGGAGACAGCACATTGTTGGGTCTTGTTTTTTAATCCAGGTTGCCAGACTATGTCTTTTGATTGATGAGTTTAGGTCATTAACGTTCTAGGTTATTATTGAGATATTTGTATTCCTGATCACTTGGGTTTATTTCTAGTCTTTAATTTGAATTAGTTTTTCCTTTGATTGACTATTCCTTTAGTGTAGTTCCTTCCTTTGTTGGTTTTCACTTTTCTTTCCCATTTCATCCTTATAGAATATTTTATTGAGAATGTTCTGTAGTGCAAGCTTTCTCAGTTGCAGATTCTTTTAACTTTTGTTTATCATGGAATGTTTTTATTTCATCTTCAAATCTGAAGCTTAATTTTGCTAGATATGGAATTCTTAGTTGGCATCATTTTCTCTTAGAGCTTGGTGTATGTTATTCTAGGACCTCCTAGCTTTGAGTGTCTGGGTTGAGAAATCAGCTGAGATCTGAATTGGTTTCCCCCTATATGTAATTTGATACTTTTCTCTTGTAGCCTTTAAAATCCCATCCTTATTCTGAATGTTATGCATTTTCATTATAATGTGTTTTTGTGTGGGTCTGTTGTAATTTTGTACATTTGGGGTCCTGTAAGCCTCTTGTATTTGATTTTCTATTTCATTCTTTGGGTTTGGGAAATTTTCAGTTATAATTTCATTGGAAATATTGTGTGTTCCTTTGGTTTGTATTTCCGTGCCTTTATCTATCCCTAAAAATCTTAAATTTGGTCATTTAATGTTTTCCCATATTTCCTGGAAGTTTTGTTCATGGTTTCTTAACATCTTCTCACTGTGGTCAACTCTATTTTCAAGATTATATATTTTGTCTTCATTGCTTGAAGTTTTGTCTTCCAAGTAGTCTAGTCCATTGGTGATGCTTTCCATTGAATTTTTAATTTGGTTTATTGATTCCTTCATTATAAGGATTTCTGCTTGCTTTTTTCCCCCAGAATTTCTTCCTCTTTATTGAAGTGATCTTTCACTTCCCCTATTTACTCTCTGATTTCACTCTTAATACCATCCTTTACTTTGCAGATCAGTTTAACTATGTACATTCTAAACTCCTTCTCTGACATTTCTTCCACTGTGGTGTTGATGAATTCTGTTATTGGAGTATCTTGGTTTGTTTGGGAAGATTTGTTCCCTTGATTTTTCATGTTGTTTGTGTGTCTACCCATCTAGTAGCATGGATCCGAGGTAGTAGAATTTCTATCCTGTGGACTTGTAGTGTCCCGAAAGGTTTCAAGTACCTCATTTGCAGAGAAGTTGCCTGTCTACTTTCTTGGTTTCATATCATGGAGCATCCAGGAAAGCAACCTCCTCTATTCTGCCATCTTGAAAACCTCTCAGCACCCTTTCTTGATGTTTTAAATGGCTTCATATTTGTGAACCCAGGGGTGCTTAACCACTGAGCCACATCCTCAGCCATATGTGTGTGTGTGTGTGTGTGTGTGTGTGTGTATTTTTTTTTTTGAGACAAGGTTTCATTAAGTTGCTCAAGGATTCACTAAGTTGCTGAGGCTGGTTTTGAACCTCCAATCCTTCTTGCCTCAGCCAACCCAGCTTTTGGGACTAGAGGTGTATGCCAACCACACCTGGTGCTTTTTTAATTTTGACACATGTTCTAGATAAGTTGATTAGGGCTTCACTTAGATGCTGAAGCTCACTTTGTATTTGCAATCATCCTGCCTCAATGTTCTGAGTCCCTGGGATTATAGGCAAGTGCTACCATACCCAGCTAAAATGGCTTTATATTTGGATATATTCTTGTTCCCTAACAAAAATGATGAAATCATTTAGAAAGAGACTAAGGCTTTTGTTCTCCATTATAGCTCCTGATATAATATTTTTAATTAGTTAATAATTTTGGTACTAGGAATTGAATGCTAAGTTGCTGAGAGTCTTGCTAAGTTGTTGAGGCTGGTTTCAAACTTGCAACACTCCTGCCTCAGTCTCCCAAATTGCCAGGATTACAGATGTGTGCTACTGTGCCCAGCAAGTTTTAGATTTATTTATTTGTTTATTATTTATTTATTTTTACAGTGTTGGGGATCAAACCTAGGGCCTCATGCATGCTAGGCAAGCACTTTATCACTGAGCTGCACCCCAGCATATAATGTTTTTAAATATAATAGCTATGATTTAAATGCTTATAGAAATGGCTCACATTGTAAAAGGTAAATATTAATATTTGACTAATTTTAGTAGTGACTGATGGACTGCTGTTCAGGTAGAGGTACCAGATGAAGATTTAAAAACCCATAAACACATAAAGCTGTGGCTGTGGCTCAGCGGTAACGCACTTGCCTGGCATGTTGAGGCACAGTGTTCGATTCTCAGCACCACATATAAATAAATAAAATAAAGGTCTATCAACAACTAAAAAAAATTAAAAAACCCCATAGAAACAATAAACCCTAAATTAAAATTGTTTACAAAAATGTATCAGTACCTTGGTCTTGTTTATAACAAGAAAAAATCTTGACTTTACTCATTTTGAAAAATCACAAGAAGCTGTTGGTAAGGTAGTTCCACTGCTCTACTAAACAATATTCTACATTGCTTTCAGGATATAATTACTGTTGGTGTTATTATATAAATTTTTAAATTTATAATTTGGACAGACAAAATTAATTTTTGATTTTTTGCTTGAATAAAGGGCTTTTAGGTATTCACCATAATTTTATAAGAAAAAGGAGAAATAAATATAATAAATTCAATTGCTGTGATATAAATACCCCCAAATAAATGTTCTTTGTAAAAAGTCAAGTCTAGTGTCATATAAGTATACCATATAAGACAATTTCATAAAAATCCTATTATGTTATTGCCAAGTCAAAAATGTTTTACAAGAGCAGGAAGAAAAGATTAACATTAAACAGATACATGAGGTGGGATGGAAAGGGAGAGAAAAGGGAAATTGCATGGTAATGGAGGGAGACCCTCATTGTTATACAAAATTACATATAAGAGGTTTTGAGGGGAATGGGAAAATAAACAAGGAGAGATATGAATTACAGTGGATGGGGTAGAGAGAGAAGATGGGAGGGGAGGGAGGGGGGATGGTAGAGGATAGGAAAGGTAGCAGAATACAACAGTTACTAATAGGGCATTATGTAAAAATGTGGATGTGTAACCGATGTGATTCTGCAATTTGTATTTGGGGTAAAATTGGGAGTTCATAACCAACTTGAATCTAATGTATGAAATATGATATGTCAAGAGCTTTATAATGTTTTGAACAACCAATAAAAAAAATTAAAAAAAAATGTTTTACATAAATTTTATAATATCACAGGTTTACTCACAGAAATCCAACGCAAATCAAAGAGGCTTCGAAAGAACTTTAAGCAGAAGAATAGTTTTTACTATAATGTCAAAGTGGAAGAGGAAGGAGCAGACAACAAACTTGTATCATCCACCAGTAGATCTGGAAAAGTGGCAAGACTTCTTCATTTATAATTTTTTGTTTTTTCTTTAATGATGTTTTGTTTAATGAGTATGCACGAATAATTTCTCACTATACTTTCTAACAGACTCAGGAGAGCATGGAATTAACTCAAGAGGAACATCAGCTTATTAATAACATTGTGGCTGCACATCAAAAATATATGATTCCTTTGGAGGAAACAAAGAAATTTGTATGTATTACTAGCAAGAAATAGTTCATAACTTTTTAATAACATTTTATAACATTTTCTTTAGAAGATGTTTCTTTAACATTTCCTTTTTAATGACATTTTCTTTAAAAAATGAAGGACTAACACAACAGTTTAAAGTTTCAACAGTTGTTTAAATGAATATAATAATTTATTAATTGTAGTTCTTTCTATGGGTTAGCTGCAGGAATATACCAATCCTGAACTGAGCTTTTTACAACTCTTAGAGATAGCTATCCTTCATGTCCATGGGATGATGGAGTTTACCAAGAGACTTCCAGGTAATTACTTTGCTTTTGGAAAAAACTAAAGTAATTTACCACTTCAATTTTTTAAAATGTTCCATATTTTAAAGGAAGAGGGTATTGTAAGGAAAACAAAACCTCTATGTTTTCTACCAATGCCACTTCTAACTGCCAAAACATGTTTATGTCTGCCTGCTCCAATTAATCATGTGGGTGAAAATCTAAATATTTAAAAATATTATTCAAATACGTCAACACTTAAGATAAACATATTTATTTGCATGTTTAATTTTTGGAAATGATTTGTTTTTGTTGTTTTAAATGAAACATGAAACAAAAAGAAGATTTCCTGTACAATATTAAAAATGTGGAGCCACTCTTGGCCAAAACTTAGCTATTTACATGCACACACGATTCATTATAAAATAAATTCTTCAAGTCTAAATAAACTATGTTTAATTTGTCCTTGCTAGAAGAAAAGGATTATCTGATGAAAGTGCCCCAAAGTATTACCATGTATAATTAAGAATTTTATTCAAATTTGAAGTTATAGATCATGATTATTGTAAGTGAACATTTAGAATTCATAAGAAAATTAATAATTTAAAACATTAAATACTATGTCTGAAAATTATTTTTCATTATCTATATATATTTTCATGATCTTTTATTAAAGGATTCGAAAAGTTGACTAGTGAGGACCAGACTGCACTACAGAAGGGATCAAAAGCTGAAGTGATTTTTCTTCATGTGGCCCAACTTTACAGTCAGAAAGTATCAACCTCCAAAAGTAAAATGGCTTTCTTTTTAATTTTAAAATTTATAATAAAATTTAGCAACAAATGATATATCTAAAATATTTTCATTTTATTTTACCAATTGGTATAGGAATAAATATCTTATGACAGATGTTTATAGTTCTAATACTATAAACATAATATTATGTTTGGTCTAGCTTTTTTTCCTTTCGGTTTTTTTTTTATTGGTACTGGAGATTGAACCCAGAGGGGCTTTATCATTTCATCACATCTCCAATCCTTTATTTATTTATTTTTAAACTTAAGAGACAGGGTCTCACTGTGTGCTTAGGACATCACTAAGTTGCTGAGGCTGGCCTTGAACTTGCATTCCTCCTCCTGCCTCAGCTTCCCAAGTTGCTGGGATTATAGGTTTGTGCTTTTGTGCCTGGCTTGCTTTTTTGTATTTTAAAAAAGTCATTCCTTTTTTTTTTGTATTAGAGTTTATGGTTATAAATAGTAGTTGGGTTAATCCTCACAAACTCATACATTCAGTTAATGATGCCCCCTCTTCCCCTCTTTTCTGTCCCATCCTTCCCCCTCCTTCTTCTACTCTACTAGACTTCCTTTCATTTGTCTTTGATTAATTAATTTGTATTTGATTGGTTCTCTAGTAATCTTATCATTCCTTCCCCCTTTCCTTTATTTTACTCTAGCTTCCACATATGAGAACATTTGACCTTTGAATTTCTGAGTTTGTCTAATTTCACTTAGTGTGGTATTTTTGATTTCCATCCATTTACCAGCAAATGTCATAATTTCATTCTTTTTAATGGCTGAGTAGAACTCCATTGTGTGTGTGTGTGTGTGTGTGTGTGTGTGTGTATCTCACATTTTCTTTATTCATTCATCTATTGACAGGCATCTGGTGGATTCTGTAATTTAGCTATTGTAAATTGTGCTGCTATAAACATTGATGTGATGGTGCTACTTTAGTATGCTGATTTTAGATCTTTTGGGAAAATAACGGAGAGTAGGATAGCTGGGTCATATGATGGTTCCATCCCTAGTTTTTTGAGGAAATTGCATACTGCTTTTCAGAGTGGTTGTACTAGTCTGCCATCCCATCAAAAATGTACAAGTATTCCTTTCTCCCCACAATCTTGTATTTATTGTGTTCTTGACCATTGCCATTCTGACTGGGGTTAGATGGAACTTAGTATAGTTTTGATTTACATTTCCCTGATTGCTAAAGATGTTGAACATTTTTTTCACATATTTATTGGTGTTTCGTGTTTCTTCTATTGAGACATTTTTGTTTAATTCTTTTGCCCATTTATTGATTAGACTATTTGATTTTTGGTACTAAGTTTTTTGAGTTCTTTGTATATTCTGGATATTAATCCTGTATTGAAGGAGTAGCTGGCTGAGATTTTCTTCCATTCGGTAGTCTCTCTCTGCCAGCTCTTAATTATTTCCTTCACTGTGCAGACACTTTTTAGTTTAATGACATCCCATTATTGATTGTTGGTTTTATTTCTTGTGCTTTGGGAGTCTTGTTAAGGAAGTCTGTGCCAGCACCTCTGTGATGGAGTGTTGACCCTGTGTTTTGTCTTTGATCCATTTCAATTGATCCAATCCAGTTCTTTTCCAATTTGAGTGTAGGGTGAAAAATAGGGGTCTAATTTTATTTTTCTACATAAAGCTATCTAGTTTGCCAGCACCATTTGTTTAAAAGACTGTCTTTTCTACAAGATTTGGTTTTGGCACCTTTGTGAAATATCATATGGCTAGAGGGTTATGGGTGTGTCTGTATATTCTATTCTATTCAACTGGTCTTCATGTCTATTTTGGTGCCAGTACCATGCTGCTTTTGTTAATATAGCTCTATAGTATCATTTCAAATCAGGTATTATGATGCCTCCTGGTTTACTTTTCTTGCTTAATATTGCTTTGGCTATTCTGGGTCTCTTATTCTTCCAAATGAATTAAAATTTGTTTTTGTCTAATTCTGTGAAGAATGCCATTGGTATTTTGATGGGGATTGCATTGAATCTGTATATTGCTTTTGGTAATGTGGCCATTTTGACAATATTAATTCTGCCTATTCAAGAACTTGAGATACCTTTCCATCTTCCAAGATCTTCTTCAACTTCTTTCTTCAGTATTCTGTAATTTTCATTTTAGAGCTCTTTTACCTCCTTGGTTAGAGTAATGTCCAAGTTTTTTTTTTCTTTCTTTCTTTTTTAATAGATTATTGTGAATGGGATGGTTTTTCTGATTTCTTCCTTGACTGAATCACTGTTGGAATATAGGAAAGCTATTGTTTTATGGGTATTGACCTTATATCCTGCTACTTGCTAAATTCAGTAATAAGTTCTAGAAATTTCTGGTGGAGTTTTTTTGGATCTTCTTGATATAGGATCATATCATGGGCAAACAGAGATAGCTTGAGTTCTTTTCCTATTTGTATCCCTTTGATTTCCTTTTCTTACCTGATTGCTCTGGCTAATGTTTTGAGGACTATATTGAATAGGAGAGGTGAGAGTGGACAGCCTTGTCTTGTTCCTGAATTTAGTGGAAATGCTTTTAGTTTTTATCCATTTAGTATGATGTTTGCTTTTGGTTTGTTATAAATGACCTTTACGATGTTGAGGTAACTTCCCTCGATTGATAGCTTTTAGCATTTTTAACATAAATGTTATGACATAACATTTATTTAACATAAATGGGTACTGAATTTTATCAAAGGCTTTTCCTGCATGATCCTACGATTTTTGTTTTTAGTTTTGTTTAAATAATGAATCACATTTATTGATCTGTGTATGTTGAACTGACCTTGCAACTTTTGTATGAAACCCACTTAATCATGGTGTATTACCTTCCTGATTCACTTTTTATTTTTTTGGTACCAGCGTTTGAACCGAGGGGCACTTAACCACTGAGCAATACTCCCACCCTTTTCTTGTATTTTATTTAGAGATGGGGTCTCACTGAGTTACTTAGGGCCTCATTAATTTATTGAGGCTGGCTTTGAACTTGTGATCCTCCTGCCTCAGCCTCCTGAGCCACTGGGATTATAGGTGCATGTTACTGTGCCCAACTCTTGATGTATTTTTAAACGTGGTTTGCTAATATCTTATTTAGAATAGTTGCATCTACGTTCCTCAGAGATATGGGTCTATAATTTTCTTTCCTTGATGCATTTTTGTCTGGTTTTGAAATCAGGTTTATATTAGTTTCATAAAATTTTTTTTTCTTGGGGGGAAGGTTTCTTTGTTTTTGGTACCAGGAATTGAACTCAGGGGCCCTCAACCCTTGAGCCACATCTCCAGCCCTATTTTGTATTTTATTTAGAGAAAGGGTCTCTCTGAGTTGCTTAGTGCATTGCTGTTTTTTTTTTTAAGACAGAGAGAGAGAGAGAGAGAGAGAATTTTTATTTTTTCCATATTGGCCGCAAATTGGTGCGGCCAATATGGAAAGCAGTATGGAGATTCCTGGGACCACCATTTGACCCAGCTATCGCCCTTCTCAGTCTGTTCCCTGAGGACCTTAAAAGAGCATACTATAGGGATACTGCCACATCAATGATCATAGCAGCACAATTCACAATAGCTAGACTCTGGAATCAACCTAGATGCCCTTCAATAGATGAATGGATAAAAAAATGTGGCATTTATACACAATGGAGTATTATGCAGCACTAAAAAACGACAAAATCATGGATTTTGCAGGGAAATGGATGGCATTAGGGCAGATTATGCTAAGTGAACCTAGCCAATCCTTAAAAAACAAATGCCAAATGTCTTCTTTGATATAAAGAGAGCAACTAAGAAAAGAACAGGGAAGAAGAGCATGAGGAAAAGATTAACATTAAACAGAGACGAGTGGGGGGAGAGAAAGGGAGAGAGAAGGGAAACTGTATGGAAATGGAAGGAGACCCTCATTGTTACACAAAATTACATATAAGAGTTTGTGAGGGGAAAGGGAAAATAAAAAAGGGAGAGAATTAAACAATAGCAGATGGGGTAGAGAGGGAAAATGAGAGGGAAGGGGAGGGGGGATAGTAGGGGATAGGAAAGGCAGCAGAATACAACAGTCATTAATATGGTATTATGTAAAAATGTGGATGTGTAACCGATGTGATTCTGCAACTTGTATTTGGGGCAAAAATGGGAGTTCATAACCCACTTGAATCAAATGTATGAAAGATGATATGTCATGAGCTTTGTAATGTTTTGAACAACCAATAAAAAAAAGAAAAAAAAAAGACAGAGAGAAAGAGAGAGAATTTTTATTTTTACATTTTATTTATTTTTTAATTGGTTGTTCAAAACATTACAAAGCTCTTAACATATCATATTTCATACATTAGATTCAAGTTGGTTATGAACTCCCAATTTTACCCCAAATACAGATTGCAGAATCACATCGGTTACACATCCACATTTTTACATAATGCCCTATTAGTAACTGTTGTATTCTGCTACCGTTCCTATCCTCTACTATCCCCCCTCCCCTCCCCTCCCATCTTCTCTCTCTACCCCATCTACTGTAATTCATATCTCTCCTTGTTTATTTTCCCATTCCCCTCACAACCTCTTATATGTAATTCTGTATAGCAATGAGGGTCTCCCTCCATTACCATGCAATTTCCCTTTTATCTCCCTTTCCCTCCCACCTCATATCTCTGTTTAATGTTAATCTTTTCTTCCTGCTCTTCCTCCCTGCTCTGTTCTTAGTTGCTCTCATTATATCAAAGAAGATATTTGGTATTTGTTTTTTAGGGATTGGCTAGCTTCACTAAGCATAATCTGCTCTAGTGCCATCCATTTCCCTGCAAATTCCATGATTTTGTCATTTTTTAGTGCTGCGTAATACTCCATGGTGTATAAATGCCACATTTTTTTAATCCATTCATCTATTGAAGGGCATCTGGGTTGGTTCCACAGTCTAGCTATTGTGAATTGTGCTGCTATGAACATCGATGTGGCAGTATCCCTGTAGTACGCTCTTTTAAGGTCTTCAGGGAATAGTCCAAGAAGGGCAATAG